TTCTAAAAATAGAATTATTGTCCCATGTCATGGGGACAACCCCAATACTAGAAATGGCGCGCGCTTACGGTCTCCGTCCCCGATTATGGCTCCTGGTCCTACATTAAAAAGTCATATCTGGTCCCGGTAATTTGTCCGCGAATTTTAACTCAACATTTGTTCTACGAGCAAGACATGACCTAAGAGAGCTTAGGTCCTTTACAAACAGTTATTATGATTACTTTGCACATCATGATGATAACGCTACCTCCCACATGTAACTCGTATTTGTTTCGTCTGAGATGTGCTCCCATCCTCTCTTTTTTCCTTTATAGGGACCGAATCGTACTCCTTTTGGAATCTCAGATGTACTGAAAACGCCTAAACCAGCTCCAGGAATAGATGACGGGCTTATTTTAAGAACTGGCGGTAGTGAAGCCACTGCGGATGACAAATTAGAATATCCTTCCATAATCTTGTCATTTATAACCTGCAAAGGGCCATGCACTGGACAATCACCGAAATGGAGGTCTTGACACTCTTCACAAACTAAACAATAAAAAAAACACAAATTGATTTCAAGGTTTAATAAACCGATAAGGTTCAAGTTCCAAGAGTGAAAATGAAGAAATTGGAAAACTCTCTGTTCATTAGAGGCGATAAATCACCTTACGCGCCTTGTATCATCAAAAGACCGCGCAGAAGGTGATGTGGGTATGTGCGGGGAGCGGAGTGGGGTGGTTTCTTACTACTCGATCGACAAACTGAAAGGATGACTAGAAGAGCTTATTTCATCTTAAGTATCACGAGGATTCAATGGGGATTTACTGTTTACTAAACACAAGTAGTCTTCTTGACAGACTTAAGGGAGAGAGAAATGTTCTCGAGAGCCGGCAATTACTGAATTTAAGGTTACCGTATACCTTCAGGGGTGTCTCACGTCCAAGCGATGTAGCGCGTTCGGTTTAAGCTGTAGATACCTAAACCCCTATATCAAATTAAAGCTTATAGAGCTGGCTATCAAACCATACCCAAAATTTTGAAATAAAATGAAGTGCCGATTTTTTCACGGCCACTAAATGCGAGCGTCCTAATCACCTTTTGGAAGCTACAAGTCAAAGCGAATTTTGTT